ACCGATCTTTGAAGGTTCTAGAGATGTCGCCCTTCGTAGATTTTTCTCGCTTGAAAAACGATTGCTTCGAAACCCCCAACTTTATTCTCAATATTCTAATTACATGTGTGAATATTTAGATTCTCAATATATGATTGCCGTGCAAAATCCTTCTCCCAACGCTTATTCTTATTATTTGCCTCATCATTGCGTAATCCGACCAGATAGTCTCACGACCAAACTTAGAGTTGTCTTTGATGCTTCCGCTCGAGATTACACAAATAAATCTTTGAATGACACTCTCTTAACTGGGCCAAAATTACAGTCAGATATTTTATCTATTTTACTTCGATTTAGATCGCATTTGATTGTATTTGCTAGCGATATTAAACAAATGTTTTGTCAAATTCTTGTTAATGAAAATCATACTGAATACCTCAAAAATTTTATGGCGATTTAACGCTAATGAGCCCATTCAAGAATACAAACTTACTCGCGTTACTTTTGGTTTAAGCTGTAGCCCATTTTTAGCCATTCGAGTTATAAAACAAATTGCTTTAGAAAATTTAGTAAAATATCCCGAAGCATCAAAGATTTTAGATATGGATACGTATGTCGATGATATTATATCTGGTTGCGATTCTCTTTCTCTTGCTATAAAAATTCAACGCGATCTCATTTCTAAAACTGTTCAAAACACAGCGGTTTTGAACTTAGAAAATGGACTTCGAATAGCTCAAATTTTCTTTCTCAGTTATCTCCAAATGAATGCAAAATTGATTCTTCTCTCTCTTTAAATATAAATTCTCTTTCTTCCTCTAAAGTTCTAGGACTAAACTGGAATCCCTCTACAGATGAATTTTTCTTTGATTCACCAGCGTTGTCCTTGACAAACAAAATCTGTAACAAACGCAATATTCTTTCACAACTCGCAAGCATATTCGATCCCTGTGGCATGTTAGTTCCTCTCACTCTTCACTTAAAACTGATTATACAAGATTTGTGTAAGTTAGGTATAAATTGGGATGATCCTGCTCCCAATAACATTGCTACATCTTGGCATCAACTCGTTCAAGAATTACCTTGTATTTTTTCTCTCAAAGTTCCTCGATATTTTCTCACTCTCAAATATTTATCCCTGGAAGTACATGGTTTTTGTGATGCTAGTGAAAAAGGCTATTGTGCAGTAATTTATTTTAGGATAATTCTTCCAGATAACTCTGTAAAAACAAATTTTGTCTGCGCTAAAGGCAAAGTAGCTCCACTCAAAAAATCTCAATTCCAAGACTGGAACTCTGTGCAGCCTTACTTCTGACCAGGTTAATTGATTTCGTTAGAACTTCTCTTTCTAATAAACTTATTAATGTTAGTACGATTGCATGGTCCGACTCGATGGTTGTTTTGCATTGGCTTAAAAGTGAACCATATAAGTGGAACACCTTTGTAAGCAATCGAGTTTCCCAAATTCAAGAGAAATTACCTCCTTCTTGTTGGCGTCATGTAGTCTCCAAAGACAACCCCGCTGATCCAGGTTCTCGTGGTCTTCAACCTAGCGAGTTACTCGACAATGCCTTATGGTGGGCGGGACCTCCATGGCTAAGCCAACCGGAATCTTATTGGCCGCAATCAATCTTTACTTTCCCTGAAATTGAAGAAGAACAACGAAAAGTTATATTGACATGTACTTCACAGCCCCTCATTGTTTGATACTCTCTTTGAAAAGTTCTCTTCTTTCTCTAAAATTATAAATATTGTCACGTTTTGCAGACGTTTCTCTATAATACTGACATTCTAAATCTCGTAAAACCTCCTCTCTCGAAATTTGAAATAAATGAAACTCTAGAATGTATTATTAAATGTGTTCAATCACAATATTATGCTAGGGAAATTCTCTTAATAAATAATTGCAAATCTCTACCTAAATACTTAAGAAAATTGACCCCCTTTATCGACACCAATGGAATTCTTAGAGTTGGTGGTCGCTTGCGCAATGCTTCTCTAAATTTCTCTCTCAAAAACATCCCGCACTCTTACCCAATAATCATAAATTTACTACTCTACTCATAGAATATACTCATAAACTCTATTTGCATCCCGGTCCCCAAACTCTTCACTATATTCTCGCTCAACAATACTGGATTGTTTCTGCTAGAAAAACAATTCGTAGTGTTCTCTTTAAATGTCCTCAATGCTTTCGCGCTAATCCAGTAATGCCTCAGCCTCCTATTATGGGAGATATTCCTGCTGTAAGACTTTCTCAAGTAAAACCTTTCTCTGAAGTTGGATGCGACTATGGTGGTCCATTCTCTTTATTAAGATATCGTGCACGAGGTGCTAAGTCCTGTAAAGCCTATATTTGCTTATTTGTGTGCATGGCCACGAAAGCTTTGCACTTAGAACTGGTTTCCGACCTTTCCTCCGAGACTTTTCTGGGTGCACTGCGTCGATTCATTTCTCGTAGAGGTCGCTGCAATCATATTTATTCCGATTGTGGAACGAACTTTGTCGGAGCTTCTAGAGAACTGATTAATATGCTAAAATCCGCCGCTGAGCAAGAACAAATTTCCTGGCACTTCAATCCTCCAAGCGCGCCTCATTTTGGTGGCCTGTGGGAAGCAGGAATAAAGTCTGTAAAACTCACATTAAAAGGGTCATTGGTGATCAATTGCTCACGTATGAGGAATTTTATACGCTACTGGTTCAAATAGAAGCAGTGCTTAATTCTCGTCCATTGTGTCCACAAAGCTCTGATCCTAATGATTTGTCAGTTCTTACTCCAGGACATTTTTAACCCTAGAGCCGTTAAACGCCCCTCCGGAAGATGATCTTTCCGGGATAAAATTAAATCATCTCTCTCGCTGGCAGTTGATATCACGCTTGCACCAAAGCTTTTTGGAGCCGATGGTCTAAAGAATACCTTCAAACACTTTTACAAAGAGCTAAATGGAATGACTCTACTATTCCAATAGAAATAAACTCGGTTGTTTTAATAAAAGATGATAATCTTATTCCGCTCAAATGGAGCATTGGAAGAGTCTTAGAGATTCACCCGGGCCATGATCGTGTTACACGCGTGGTTGCTTTGAGAGCAGCGAAGGGCATTCTTAAAAGACCAGTGACAAAGATATGCCCACTGCCTTACTGCAAATCTCATAATTAAAATTACTACTCTAAAAAAAAAAAAAAAAACATAATCGCAAAAAAAAACATAATCGCAAAAAAAAACATAATCTCATTATAAACATAATTAACATCTCTTATTTAATTACTTTTCTCTACTCTATAACAAATGTAAACTCTCTTAATATTTAATTAAATTACACTCATGCATTAACCCCAATAATGCATTTTTCTAAATTTCCTCTAAATTTAACTTCATAAATTTCACTCTTACTTTCTTTTAAACATAACGCATTTTTTCACTTTTTTTTATTTTACTTTACTATTCTCAAACGAAAATGGAAAATATTTCATTTTGGTGGGCGGTATGTTGGATTCTATCCCTTCCTCCCATCCTTTACCCGAAAAACCTTAGTGGGTACGTAGCCGTAGTCGAGTACGCAGCGTGACGAGAGAGAGACAAGATCGGCCGAGTACACAGTGTACACCTCCAAGCGCGCGCTATCCTCAAGTGTTTTGTTCAAGCAAAAAATCAACAGGTACGAGTCCAGAACGGGAATAAAGGTGAGTGCCCACAGTCCTGATACATTAACTCACCTTAATGAACTGAGCCCCTTAATTCTCGCCCGTAACATAGTCTATGATGCCTCGTTATCTGCAGGGCTAGCGAAATCTATACAAAAAATTCAAAATTCATGTATGCGATTCTCGTTTAATATACCCTATAGACATCACATTACACCATACCTAAATAGTAATTCTATATTATCAATGTGCAATAGACGTAAATGTCATATGTTATCATTTATTTATAAAGTTTTAAAACCGGAAAACCACCCTATTTAAATTCACTTTTCAATTCTCATGAACATTCTTATTTTACCAGAAATGTAAATAATTTCAAAGTCCCCAGCACAGAACTGCGGCATTTCAGAGATCTTTCAGCTTTGTAGCGATTCAATTGTGGCATCAGATTCCTAAATGCGTTCAAGAGCTTTCATATGAAAAATTTGTAAATAGTGTCAAGTCTATATATTTAGAACAACAAAAACAAAACCGTTAGAAATTTAAACGAGTGACTAACCTGCCTGCCTGCTTTCGTCGCCTTTTAGTTTTTAATTTTAATAATAACCTGATGATTTCAACTTAATTTAACTTTTCCCTGGTGCCCTAGCCTTCCTCCTGGTCATTCCCGTTGATTGCATTCTCTTTTTTTTGTATTTGAGTATATTTTATGTATTTTATTTTGAATTCTTTGTATTAATCTTTGTATCATTTATGCATGTATATTTGTTTTAAATATTTACAGGGCTGTGCGACACAAAAACATTTACTGTTTTTGTTTTTGTGTATCGGTTTTTTTTTTATAATCGCGACACAGTCCCATTTACTTAATTTTTTCTCTTTGTTTATTGTGTACATTAATGTTTAAAAAAAGTAAATAAACTATTTTGATTTGATTTGATTGATTTGATTTATGGTTTTTGGAATCCCAATTATGAACCTCGAATTTGGGACACTCTGTAGAACGATTCAATAATATAGGATGTCGGTGGTTACAGGGTCGAAAAATAAGACGCGCCAAATCACAATTTTCCCTTATTTTTGTCTAAATGAATTCCGCACATTTTTGACGTACACCATATATGAAAAATAAAAGGTTTGAACAATGGTAAACTATTACATTAGAATGTAATCTTCGTTGAATGAGCTATTTTAAAATATGTATAACTTGAAAAAAAAACAATTTCTTTGTTCATGAACTATACTGTATTGTATAACTTTGCTAGTGGTCATTATGTTGCATTGTTTTGAAATTTTGACAAAACAATAATTTTATAAAAAAATGAAATAGTAAGCCACGGTAAACTTGGTAGTATTCATGAATATTGTATTTTCAGGTGGTCAAAACTATCAGCACCAGATCTTGGCAGCTACATCTCTAGGCACATCAAATAACAACAAAAATACACTAAACCAAAGTTCTCAGTTGAAAGTAAAAAACGAAAAAGCAAGAACCAAAACGGTGGAGAACTTATGGATTATAACTGAAGGTCTGAACATATTGTACAAGGAGAATTGGACTATTTTAGCTGCACAGGAAATAACAAGGTAATACTATAAATCATAATTTTAAACAAAATTGAAAACAATAGTTATTTACAGTACAAGTGTGTTTATGAACATGATTACAACAACGAGTCGTTCTAATCACACGAGTGTTGTAATCATGTTTAAACGCACGTGTCATATACAACGTTTTATCTACAACCGAAAAATAAGAAAATGCTGTTTTAATTTTCGTTAATAGTCGCCCACCTTTAACACCTTTAACTATGACATTTGTCACATTTTTTTAATTATATTTGTGGGGAATTGTCATTATTATAAAAACTAGTTGTGTTATAGATTCATAACACCACTAGTTGTGTTATGAATCTCATAACGTAACTGAAATACTAAAAAAATAGTGATGTAAAATCGTTATAACTAAACGGTTGTAGATAAAAATTGATAACATATCAATACTCATTATTTTAAGATAAACATAACTAAATTATATAATAAACTTAAAATTAATATTGTCAAGTTTTTGAGCTTTCCAACTTATTTAATAACTTGAAGGATACATATTAAAAGCACTATAATATCTAGATAATTTTCATACTATAATAACTTTATAACTATAACACGTTTTATATTTTTACTCAAATTCAGTTAGTTGTATTTACTAGTTATAATGTTGATTATTTGACCAGGTTTCAAAACGAACTGCTAAAATCCATGGAGGATGAAATAGCGCATCAACAGCCTCTAGTAGTTACAAAAGACGGGGGCAGACATGTTGATCCTTTTGAATGGACATTTGCCAAGGCTTTCCTCTACTCTCTTACTGTTTTAACAACAATTGGTAAGTAGTTGTAAACTTTCTTTGCGTTAAGTACATTTGCCGTATTTTTTTATAATAATTTTCAATAAGTTAAATTGGTATGTTACTGTAAATAAGTACTTCCCAAAATGGTTCAGGAGGTTCAGAGGTTCACAGAAAACTCCTCATGGATCTACGTTGGCGTAAAAAAATGGGGATATCGCAAAGTTGTAAGTGAGGACGTACAAAATATAATACAGTACTACAAACTTGTAATTAAAGAAAATAATAATAATAATATGATGTAATTTCAACAGAAAAAACAGGAGCATCGAATGTTCAGAATTCAAGAACACTCAAGGATTCTTGAATAGTTGTATTTAGATATTTTCAATAGTATTTTCCTTTGTTATTTGTGTTTTCTTGCTTTCGATGACGCGACGGGAGAAGATATACCCAGGGTTGCCAACTGTCCCGATTTTGTCGGGCAGTCTCGATTTTGATCCAAAAGTCCCGCATCCTGCGATTTTTAATTGTTTAATAGCCATGTTTTTATTAAACAATAAAACTTTATTATTAAAAATACAGGTTTATTAATTTCTTGAATTTAAAAACAGTTCTTTTCCACGAATTATTTAAAATCTTAGAAATTTTAGATTTAAAAGAAGTAGATATTGATACTCTGTTTAATGAATATTCTATAATAAAAACTTGCGTAAAGGAAATTTGCCAAAAAGAATATAAAAATTATAGATAAAAAAATAAAGTATTTTTAAAACTAGAGTAAATTATATGCCTTCATTGTTTAAGGTTGTTATTTATATATTTTCACGTATGATGTTGAAGTAGATAGACGCTAGAAATAGATGTTCAGTTAAGTTCATTAGAACGGAACTTCAAATCTCATTTAATTTTAATATATCGCATGTGAGAATTTTTGGATTTTATTAAAAACGACGAGGCTCTTATTATTAATTGTATTATTATTAATTGCAACAAAACAAATAAAAAATATTCACACAAATTATAAATAAATTAGGATTGATTGACGTATTCAATTATTTTCGGTTACTTCCTCTTTCACCGGAAATTACTACAACTTGATTTTTAAATAACATCCTAGGTATTTTTTTACTTTATTCGATAGAATATGACACTTTGAATAGAATGACATATAATATGTCAGCTTTTGAAATTTTTGCATATGGTTTATTTGACATTATAACATGCGGTTCAAAACGACAATTTTACTAGAAATACAAAGTATGTGGTACAAATTATTCCAAAAAAAATTCTTTTTTAAAATATGCTAATGAGACACCCTCGTTCCGCTTGAAAAAATTGAGATATGATTAAAGATACGATTTGGGCATATTTTAACCGATCAGGACAAGACACTAAAAACATATTAGACCATCAAACCTATTTTTCCAAGGCCCCTTGATTAAATATTAGTGTTTTTAACACAGCCATGGCACTCGGGATTGAAATTCAAAATACAATTTTGTTTTAGGCAAAAATGTCAAAAGTTGACATCTGATACATCCCTCTATCCAAAGTGTCACTTTCTATCGAATAAAGTAAAGAGTGCCATTTCAAAAACAAAAGTTGTAGTCATTTCCGGTGAAACAGGAAGTGGCCGAAAACAATTGAATACGTCAATCAATCCTAATGTCATATACTAACACTAGCGTGTACCAGCGACTTCGTTCGTGTCGAATTAATCATTTGTAATGGTGATGATAAAGCAAAGCAAGAATTTCAATTAAAATACATACTGGATAAAATTTTCTCACATTTATGTCAGCATGAGAAAAAACAATATGGCGATATTATTATAAAACTTGGTAATATTTGAAGGGTAGTTTCGTCTCGTTGGAATTTGACTTTCGAAAAATCCGTTTGCCAAAAATAAGCTTTTTACGTCAAGCAGTTTAAGCAGAATAGTGGTTAATAAATTACTCAACTTTTTGGAACACCCTGTATGATTTTTTTAAAAATTTCAAAATATGTAAAAAAACAAATAAATTATGCTTGTCCAAGCGTTTTCCCGAAAGACTAACCGTTTTGTATCCTCTTGGAATTTGAGATTCGAGAAACCCCTCCTTATCGAACCTCTACACCCCACAGTTAATCCGTTTGCCAAAAATCAGCTTTAAACGTCAAGCAGTTTAAGCAGAATCGTGATTACTTAATGGTCATATTTTATGAAACACCCTGTATAAATTTATAAAAAATTTTAAAATATGTAAAACAACAAAATAAAATATACGTGTTTAAGAATATTTCCGAAAAACTCACCGGTTTTTAAATAAAAAATATTTTAATATTTGAGGGATAGTTTCACCCTCTTAGAATTCGAGTTTCGAAAAATCCCTTCTTATCGAACCTCTACACCCTAAAGTCAATCTGTTTTCCAAAAATCAGCTTTTTACGTCAAGCGCTTTAAGCAGGATCGTGATTAATCAAAGACCAGATTTTTCGAAACACTTTGTATACGTATATGTGTTTAAGCGTTTTTTCGGAAACTTGACCGTCATTTAAATAAATAATATTGTAATATTTGAGGGGTGGTTTCACCCTCTTGGAACTGGAATTTCGAAAAATCCCTTCTTATCGAACCTCTACACCCTAAAATCAACCTGTATGCCAAAATTGAGCTGCTTACGTTGAGCGGTTTGGGCAGGATCGTGATTAATCAGTATATCAGTCAGTTACGGATTTTATACCTATATTAGTATAGATTTTTCTTCGTTTTTTTTAAATGGAACACCTTGTATATTAATTTTTCAGTAGATGGAGAATTAAAAAATGAACATTTTTTGTATTTACAGTATTTTAAAATTTTTGACGGTGTCTAAGATATTCGCGGTTTTATATTTCATATAGCATTTTCCATAGTAAGTTTTTATCAAAGCCACCCAATACTTTTTCTCTCGAATTTTACGGTTGAAGGAACCATACGAAATAATACTGGCCCCCTTTCTTGAATTATAACTCACCATATAGTCTCAGAGATACCCATAGAGAACATCGAAAAAAGTCACCTTGTCTCACTAGATCTCTCAGTCGGTCCAACCCCAGCTCTACGTCACAAAAAGGCAAAATTCAGTACGCCCACAATTCATATTCGCCCCTTGTAAAAAAACAAAACACTTCCATGGAGTGGCTCTAAACGCGAACGGAGGAAAAACAGGCGGCAGCAGGAAACTGCTGCGGCAAGGGAGCGGCGTCTTTGTATTCGCCGACGCTTAAGTTTTTGCCTCGAAAATAAAACTTCTTAGGAAATAAGTGTTAAAAACCGTCTCCCTTGAGTGCTCTCCACGGTGCGGCCGCTCCTGCTGCGGAAGCCGAAAGCCCAGGCAGGTCCGCAGAAATATCGACAAGTCAGATAAATTCGAAATATCGGCCTACGGTAGTCTTAAATCTAAACGGCCGGAAGTCGGTCTAGTATAAATCATAATCTTGAAATAATACTGGATATTTCGACAACGAAAGAAAAATTTCAAAAATAAACAGGTAGTTTTTGTAAAATACCACTGCGTAGAATCCATATGGAAACCGGATTTTTACTCGTAAAACAAATGTATCTGACCTAAAACATCCTCTACATTATCATATCATATATATAAACACCCGTTTAAAATAAGAAAGTTGCTGTAAACTTCCGGTATTTCTGGAAGTGCCGCCATATTGAAAATATTTTTCATCGATAGATCTCGTTGTAAAACGATTGTAAAATAATGTGCAAAAAATCTCCGATCTAGATATTGTGGTTCTCTAGAAACTTCTAATGCATGCCCAGCCTGGGACACCCTGTATACCGGGTGGGTCTCAAAAATGGCTCACCCGTATAATTTTTTTATTTTTTCTGATAAAAAAAAACGAGATAAGAAGTAACACGACAACAAAAAATGCCTCAAAAATTGTCCCCTTGATATGTAAATTGACGTAATTCGCCAAATATTCATACTATCATCGGCAGAGGCAATATTAAATACTGTTCGTTTTCAAATTGTTACCTTGTATAACTAACATTAAATAAATGTTTTTGAGAAAAAAAATATTTAAAATTTTTGGACGAAAAAAACTTGTATAGCCTAAAAGTCAAATTTATTCATTACCGCTGCCACTGTGAAATAAAGAGAAGATATGTGGCTATCTATTTCAAAAATTAATTTGTTCAAATGTCATATAATAATGGCGGTAGCTGTCATGGAATTGAGCGATTAAAAAATTATCATAAATCATTTTTTTCCAAATGGAAACCCACTTTTTTATTTCACTAATGAAAAGGTTTTTCAATTTGTTACTTTTTAACATGTTCCTATACAATAAATAGTTTTTGAGCTATTTAAGACTTAATTTGAAAACGTATATTTTTCTTCATTTTATCTTTTTTCCTTTGACATTACCACCATACCATACCATACCGCCATTATTCGCTGACGAGTATTTGACACGCATCAGAAGATGGTCACGCAAGGCGTTTTCTTTCATGAGCTTTTCTGTGACTGAAAAGCCCAATACGTGATGTTATCTGTCTACCGCACTCCAGACATTCAAAAATCTCATTGCCTTGTTGCCTCTTCACTTTTTGGTTGTCGCTCTTAACTGACTTTACAATTCTTCTCCATTCCGTTCTATTGTGAGCTGCCTCTTCCCACTCATTCTGCTTGTTAATTCCCTTTAAGTTTTCGTGGAAAATATCCTTGAACCTTTTGAGTTGTCCACCCGGCCTCCTCTTACCGTCTACAAGCTCACCGTAAAGCAGAGATTTTGGTATGCGGTTTTCTTGCATTCTGCATACGTGACCAGCCAATCTTAAGCGGGACTTTGTAATCATGACTTCAATACTCTCGCAGTTAGCCCTTTCAAGGACCGATACGTTAGAGACGTGATGGAACCATATTATTCTTAAGAGTTGTCTAAGATGTCTCTGTTGCAACTTGTTTAATGCGTTCATGTGTCGGCGGTACGGCACCCAGGTTTCGCTTCCATATAACATGGTGGGAATTATTATCGCTCGGTACACCGCAAGT